TCTCTCTCTCTCTCTCTCTCTCTCTCTCTCGCCGACGAGTCGGCGCGCGCGTACATGAATTATTTATACTCACGTAGGCAGCTTGTTTACAGCGTGGCCGCGATATTTCGTGGTAGAAAGAAAAAGGAAGCCGTGGAGCTGCACGTTTCCGGCAAAAATGCCCGCTTACACGATCCCGGCCGGTTCTAATTATACAATCACGCAATTTGTACGTTCACGTGCGATTAAGTCGTTAGCTTTTATGGCGGACGCGACGGAAAAATTAAGAGGCCCGTCCCTCTCCCCTTGTCCCCTCTGCGGGGATTTTTAATGGACCGATCTTATTTATTTCACCGTCGTACTTTAAAATTGTACACAGTCTGGGAACGACCGTGTCCATGACGCGACAACGGTTATTATGCTACTTACTGCTAAAGATGGATCACGTGATTAACAGTGATTACTAGATCCGACGCCAGATGGTACACATCTCGCCTGGCTCGTTGGCGCGCGTTCCAACCGTTCGAAACCTCCCTTTCTTTCGTGGCTCGTATAGAGGTCAGTTTGCTCGATAGATTTCCGATATCCGTTCTTTTTTACGGGGAGTAGACGTGGTGCATCGGCTGCTTAGAACGCAACCTGATGAAAGTAACCGGCTCACGGGACTCGTCGTATCTGCTGATCTCTCGCGGAAGGAACCCAGCAGCAGCTTCTTTGGTAAGTTTCTGCTCTCGATCTCGTTTAACCTTACTTCTACGCGTCGGGATGCGCGTGCCACTGTTGCGCTCCAGTTCGATCGTAAATTAATAAAAATCGCCGAGTCGAATTTTTATTGGTAATGGAAGTGAATTTCGACCAGGACGAAAGTCTAATTATCGAAAATAATGAGATTTTTAACTCGACTGAAGCTGAATGTTCGCGACTTTAGATTACAAAATCGTTTCTCGTTCCTCGTGTTTGAAGATCTCGACTACGATGTTGGGTGAAAAGATACAGAGAAAAAAATCAGTGTCATATTTTTAAATTAATGTATGTATATATATATATATATGTATGTATATATATATAATTCTTAGTCATGTGGATTTCGGAGGGCATTTCTGGGAGGTAGGGGCGCGGGAGGATCAGGCTGGGCAGGGGTGTACAATATACAATGCAAGCCATGGAATATCACGGATTCACGTGTTAGTTTCGAACGTTTCGATTCTCCTCGAGTTACATATTTTTTTTCTTGTTTTGTTCATTTATTTTATTGCTTTTCTCTCGACAACGTGTTTTCCTTTCTTTCTCGCTTTCTTTCTTACTTCCTTTCGCTTGCACATTCTCTGAACACACAGGACCGCAGGCAACGCGCTTCGAGAAATAACCGCAATAAAGGTAGAGAGTGAAAACGAAGGAAAACAAAACGGGATCAATGATGGTTGAGCAAGATTCTCACGGAACATCGAATGTGGAAAGATCGCAGCTTGTCGGTGGGCCCCGTTGCTCGACGGTGCAGCCCTGGCCTGCGCGCCAAAGCTGCGCGTTGTTATCGCGCGTTTTCTTTTTTGAGCTTGAATTTCATTCTCCCTCGCTTCGCGTTTTCTTTTTTTTTTTTTCTTTTTTCTTTCTTCATGCTTTCATCGCATGACTTTCCCAACTTTCTCCAAACGAGA